TATAACTTTTTGAGGATCTGAGGACCCATGCCAAATCTTTTCAGTCTCCTGAGGGGGAATAGGCTTTGTCGTGCCCTCTTCATGACTGTCTTGGTGTGTTTTGACCATGATAGTTCGTTGGTGATGTGGACACCAAGGAACTTGAAGCTCTCAACCTGTTCCACTACAGCCCGTCGATGAGAATGGGGGCGTGCTCAGTCCTCTTTTTTTTCCTGTAGTCCACAATCATCTCCTTTGTCTTGGTCACGTTGAGGGAGAGGTTGTTATCCTGGCACCACACGGCCAGGTCTCTGACCTCCTCCCTATAGGCTGTCTCATCATTGTCGGTGATCAGGCCTACCTGATTGTTGGAGTCGTGCCTGGCCATGCAGTCATGGGTGAACAGGGAGTACAAGAGGGGACTGAGCATGCACCCCTGAGGGGCCCCCGTGTTGAGGATCAGCGTGGCAGATGTGTAGTTACCTACCCTTACCACCTGGGGGCGGCCCGTCAGGAAGTCCAGGATCCAGTTGCAGAGGGAGGTGTTTAGTCCCAGGATCCTTAGCTTAGTGATGAGCTTTTGAGGGCACTATGGTGTTGAACGCTGAGCTGTAGTCAATGAATAGCATTCTCACGTAGGTGTTCCTCTTGTAAAGGTGGGAAAGGGCAGTGTGGAGTGCAATAGAGATTGCATCATCTGTGGATCTGTTGGGGGCGGTATGCAAATTGGAGTGGGTCTAGGGTTTCTGGGATAATGGTGTTGATGTGAGCCATGACCAGCCTTTCAAAGCACTTCATGGCTACAGACGTCAGGTCCTAATCCAGGCACTTGTCATCTCCCGTCTGGATTACTGCAACTCACTGTTGGCTGGGCTCCCTGCCTGTGCCATTAAACCCCTACAACTCATCCAGAATGCCGCAGCCCGTCTGGTGTTCAACCTTCCCAAGTTCTCTCACGCCACCCCGCTCCTCCGCACACTCCACTGGCTTCCAGTTGAAGCTCGCATCTGCTACAAGACCATGGTGCTTGCCTACGTAGCTGTGAGGGGAACGGCACCCTCCGTACCTTCAGGCTCTGATCAGTCCCTACACCCAAACGAGGGCATTGCGTTCATCCACCTCTGGCCTGCTGGCTCCCCTACCTCTGCGGAAGCACAGTTCCCGCTCAGCCCAGTCAAAACTGTTCGCTGCTCTGGCACCCCTAATGATGGAACAAGCTCCCTCACGACGCCAGGACAGCGGAGTCACTCACCCACCTTCCGGAGACATTTGAAACCCCACCTCTTTAAGGAATACCTGGGATAGGATAAAGTAATCCTTCTACCCCCCACCCCCCCCCCCCCCCCCCCCCCCCCCCCCCCAAAAAAAAAAAAAAAAACATTGTAAAGTGGTTATCCCACTGGCTATAAGGTGAATGCACCAATTTGTAAGTCGCTCTGGATAAGAGCGTCTGCTAAATGACGTAAATGTAAAATGTAATGTCAGTGCTACGGGTCGGTAGTCATTTAGGCAGGTTATCTTAGTGTCCTTGGGCACGGGGACTATGGTGGTCTGCTTGAAACATGTTGGTATTACAGACTCAGTCAGGGACATGTTGAAAATGTCAGTGAAGACACTTGCCAGTTGGTCAGCACATGCTCAGAGTACACGTCCTGGTAATCCATCTGGCCCTGCGGCCTTGTGAATGTTGACCTGCTTAAAAGTCTTACTCACATTGGCTACGGAGAGCGTGATCACATAGTCATCCGGAACAGCTGGTGCTCTCATGCATACTTCCGTGTTGCTTGCCTCGAAGCGAGCATAGAAGTGGTTTAGCTCGTCTGGTAGGCTTGTGTCACTGGGAAGCTCGCGGCTGTGCTTCCCTTTGTAGTCTGTAATAGTTTTCAAGCCCTGCCACATCCGACGAGCGTCAGAGCCGGTGTAGTACGATTCAATCTTAGTCCTGTATTGACTCTTTGCCTGTTTGATGGTTCATCGGAGGGCATAGCGGGATTTCTTAAAAGCGTCCGGGTTAGAGTCCTGCTCCTTGAAAGCGGCAGCTCTACCCTTTAGCTCAGTGCGGATGTTTCCTGTAATCCATGGCTTCTGGTTGGGGTATGTACGTACGGTCACTGTGGGGACGACATCATCGATGCACTTATTGATGAAGCCAGTGACTGATGTGGTGTACTCCTCAATGCTGTCTGAAGAATCCCGGAACATGTTCCAGTCTGTGCTAGCAAAACAGTCCTGTAAGCTTAGCATCTGTGTCATCTGACCACTTTTTTTATTAACCGAGTCACTGGTGCTTCCTGCTTTAGTTTTTGCTTATAAGCAGGAATCAGGAGGATAGAGTTATGGTCAGATTTGCCAAATGGAGGGCGAGGGAGAGTTTTGTATGCGTCTCTGTGTGTGGAGTAAAGGTGGTCTAGAGTTTTTTTTCCTCTGGTTGCACATTTAACATGCTGGTAGAAATTAGGTAGAACGGATTTAAGTTTCCCTGCATTAAAGTCCCCGGCCACTAGGAGCGCTGCCTCTGGATGAGTGTTTTCCTGTTGACTTACGGCCTTATACAGCTCATTCAGTGCAATCTTAATGCCAGCATTGGTTTGTGGTGGTAAATAGACAGCTATGAAAAATATAGATGAAAACTCTCTTGGTAAATAGTGTGGTCTACAGCTTATCATAAGATACTCTACCTCAGGCGAGCAAAACCTCGAGACTTCCTTAGTATTTGATTTTGTGCACCAGCTGTTGTTTACAAATATACACAGACCGCCACCCCTTGTCTTACCGTTCTATCCTGCCGATGTAGCGTATAGCCCGCTAGCTGTATGTTATCCATGTCGTCGTTCAGCCATGACTCGGTGAAACATAAGATATTACAGTTTTTTACATTTACATTACATTACATTTTTACATTTTAGTCATTTAGCAGACGCTCTTATCCAGAGCGACTTACAGGAGCAATTAGGGTTAAGTGCCTTGCTCAAGGGCACATTAACGTCATTTAGCAGACGCTCTTAGCCAGAGCGACTCACAAATTGGTGCGTTCACCCTATAGCCAGTGGGATAACCACTTTACAATTGGGGGGGGGGATGTCCCGTTGGTAGGATAACCGTAATCTTAGGTCATCCAATTTATTTTCCAATGATTGAAAATTGGCTAATAGGATTGATGGGAGCGGCAGTTTACTCGCTCGCTTTCGGATCCTTACAAGGCACCCCGACCTACGTCCACGATATCTCCGTCTCTTCCTCATGCGAATGACAGGGATTTGGGCCATGTCGGGTGTCTGTAGGATATCCTTCGCGGCTGCCTCGTTGAAGAAAAATTATTCGTCCAATACGAGGTGAGTAATCACTGTCCTGATATCCAGAAGCTCTTTTTGGTTATGAGAGACGATGGCAGAAACATTATGTACAAAATAAATTAGAAATAACGCAGAAAAACACACATAATAGTACAATTGGTTAGAGGGCTGTAAAACAGCAGTCATCTTCTCCGGCGCCATTCTTCGCACTAGCTACTACTAACTAGCATGACTATAGTCAGTAGCCAGCTAGTGCAAAACAACTTTGTTCAGTTGTTGTTGAGTTTATTCTATTGGCATGCTAACTTCATGATAAGTTCTGCATCTTAGCTAACATTAGTATTTTTAATTTCCTGTCAAACTGACAGTCTAATCCTTTCTTTGTGCTGCCAACCTAGGCTGTAATCGCCCCTCTAAGCCCCATGAATATTCTATGAGGGGGGCATGTATTTCCGGGTATGAACAAAAACCAAAACATTAAATACATTTTGTTATTTGTTTTCCTTTATTCCAATTTTGACAAAATAAATGAGAAAATAAGTCATTTTTCAAATGAAAAAATTAAAAAACAAACTGTTTTCTGTTTTTCACTCTCCGTTTTGACACGGAAATCAAAATAACAAAACGTACACGCCACGGACCGAAAAGGAATTGCAAACATGACATTGATGTATTATTTGCTCATTTGCATTTAAGATTTAATAAAGTCGAAGAAATACTTCCATAGTGGTTGGATAAATGATATGTTTCAAATACTGTAGGTGTAGCTCTGGGGTGTACTATGTATGTTTGATATCTATGTCAAGTATCTTTTTTTATTCAGCACTGTTCAATAGTGATGTGCAATAAGAATTTCATACAAAATGCTGGTACAGTGATATTCCTTTATTATGGTCATTTACCTGTACTTTACACAGATGTGACAATGCTGATTTCTCCAAACACCCTGAGAGATACCACAAATACAGCCCAGCGCAGGTGGAGGAGATGATCGTGAGACTATTTGATATCTCAGCCTGAGGTTGAGAACCTGCTTAGTTAGGTGATAATGTAAGGCCTTCACACTGCCTCTATAGGAAATAACACACTGTTGATTTGTTTCCACACTACTAATACTACAGCTACAGTCTCCATTACATGTATTCATGTCTAATTGCTAAATGTATTATTCCACATATGACTGTCTAGTTTTTAACATGTTGAAATAAATCTTGTTAAAGCTCTAGTGAAGAATACACACATCTATTTATTTCACACAGAAACTCAAAAGCTAGCTTCTTGCTAGTTCTTGCTAAATTTGTGAAGACCCAAACCATAGAGAATGATAGGCCTCTAGTGGCCAAACGCCTGTATTAGCATGGGCAGCACCATGGGTCTTTAACCATTTTGAAGTAATCAACTGGGTTAAGGAAGGATCACATGATTCCATCCTGGTCATCAGTAGGGATCAGCCAATGAATTATACTCGTGAGCAAACATTCCATAACTGCAGTAAATTGCCAACCTTGACTTTATACCTGTTCAAATTACACACTACATGTGGCAGTATGCACCCTTTCAGTTTGTTTGCCAACTCATAGAAGTAGTAGTAGTAGAAGAAGAAAATTGGCTACTTAAATGGAGATTGCCTCAATGGCGCTGCCGGTGCGCTCACAGACATCATAATGGGAATGATATAGGAATGCTTTCTCTATCATTCTCTAGGACCCAAACAGACAAATAAAGAATTTAGTTCTCCCAGAATTCTAATTGGTTGATCTCACATCGAGAACCAAAGGAGAAATATAAAATGGCGGCTGTATAAACAATGAGGATGGTGAGATAGATACAGAAACAGATCAAGTCTACTTTGTTGGCAAAGCGATGGTGTCTTACTTCTTTCTGGTCTTGTGCAGCCATTTTGTTGAGAAACTTCACCACCTTCTGGAGGGGTGAATTCTTCTCTTCCTCTGAGGCTTTCAGTTTGATGACAGTAATATCAGGCCTGGATTCTAAACAAAGTAAATCAGAGAAACAAAAGGATAACATATTTAAAATAACATAATTAAATAAAGAGGTAAAAATGATTCAGGACATAGTTTTCAGTGACAGATTAAACATCAAATGCAGTAGCTGGCCAGACCAGCGTATACACGAGACAAATGATGGTAACAAGAAAATATACTGGGAAAGATGTCAGCTGCAAGCTTTAACTGCATCTAAAGGGTAATAATGAAAAGGTTGTGCATCAATAAAATACAACTTGACTAGTTTATGGTGATTTAGATTATTTTTTATGGGGTACCCAGTAAAACTGGTTGCAATAACGTCATTTTGACATCATGGTCAGGTTATAAATGGTTGTATAAGGACGTTTTGTTAACGTCTTCTTTGGCAACCAGAAAAATATATCTTGCTCTGTGGGTAACTGAGATGACAAAATAATTAAAAAGTTTACCCTCTTCATTGTCTGTGTCTTTAAGCGGTGAGTCTTTGGACTTGGAGAGGCTGCAGGGCCAGAGAGTGCCACACTTAGCCAGACGTGTGAGCACCATAGACTGCAACATGCTCAACACCAGGATGACCAAACAGAAACAGAAGTGCTTTCCTATGGAGAACAACAAGAGAGAGAGAGATGTGTGAGTGTTATATGGTGGCAGAGAGGTGCTGTATACATGAAACTGATGTCAGTGTGCTGCTAACAGTATAGCTTCCTTTACTGTCCCTGTAACATACCGGGCTAGAAATAGTGATCCTCTGCTCACAAAGGATCACTAGGATCACTGTTGCTGTTCAGGATCACTGCTCGCAAACACACGTGACCGTCCTCCTTGACAACGTACCAACCAATTGAGCTATAGAAATTTGATAGCTCCCTTGGCGACATTTCAAGCTAGCTGTGAAAAAAGCCTATGGCTCGTTCTTAACTCTGTTACATACACACCCTTTATAACAAAATGCTGTTCCACGCAGAACACTCACGGATGATGGGGCTGCACTGGCCTCCTTCAGGCAGAAGATCCTTGAGGATGATGAGGAACATGATGAAGCTGAGAACCAGTGTAACCTTGAAGGAGATACGCTCGCCCCCTCCCAGCGGCAGGGCAAAGCTCACCACATCAGCCACAATGATCAGTATACTTGGCAGGACCAGGGACAGAAACGGGGTTTCGGACCGCATTTTCAGCGACACCTGTGAAGACAGATTGGTAGGCCAGACTGAAATAATTAGTTTTTCGAGCTCTTGCATCTAAACGTAGCATTTGTTTAAAATTGAAAGGGAAGAGCATTACACTCCAAAATCAGACTTTGTCAGATGTTTTCAGAACTCAAAAGAAGCCTAATGTCAATGAGTCCACATTCTTCACCATCGGTTGTGCAGATCCAACTATTCCTTAACCCCAAATGAATGGGAAAAGATACGCACTGCAAATCTGGAAATTACATAGTGCTCATCTTTTCCATTAATTTGGGATTGTGACATGTAGCTGAATCTACACAATAGATAGCCTGGGATGTGTATTTATGGATCTACGCAATAGATAGCCTGGGATGTGTATTTATCTCAACGGAACACTACTTATGAAAGGTATGAAAACATCAGATACATTTTTATTTAAGTGCATTGTATTTTTAGTGTGTAAATGTTGTTTAAGCTCTGCCCTAAAAAATAGGAAGAGTAAAGTATCTTTACATGTCCCACAAAACAAAACGAATGAAATCACCAGGGAGCACTCACTAACCCATAGATAGTTGCGATCATCTCTGCCTCCTTTAGCAGTGAGTTCCACGTTCTCGGTAAGCCAATCCCCGCGGTTTGTGCTAGTCTTGCTCACAGCCCCAAAGTTCAGGAACATACCACATCCTAGAAAGGCAGATATTTTATACTAGTTCACTCATTCAAAGATCATATACCATAGCTTAATACAACAAATCATTTGTTTTAAGGGTGTAAAGATATAATTTTTTTGTTCGGTTCATTTCTTGATATTCGACTCTCTTGTTTTGGTTTTATCTTGGTTCTCAGGAGAGGATGGAAAAAACGATCACATAAATAAATACAAAATAAACGCTTAAAAAAATTGATATGATAAGAAAATAAAGATGTGAACATTTTGATCCCTACTCCAGTGGTGGTCGCCTACTGTAACAAATATTTCAGAGCCACTTTGGTGAAACAATGTCACTGGTAGGCATATCCAAACAAAACTTCTTTGTTTCGTAGCGTGTGGTCTCTGAGAGAAGTGCCACATTATTTGCAAAATACAATGTAAAAAAAAGTTGTCCAAATCACCTTTAAGTAACAAACTAAATATGGAGTTGATTTGCAGGATTGCCCCAATCACTCCCATAATTTTTTTTGGCTTAGCAGTGGCTAAAGTTAGCTGAAGTTTGTAGTTGCTGTTCAGAGAAAACTGAACCACAGATTACACTTTCTCCTAGCCCATATACTACTTTCAGGGTGAGGAACCATCTAACATGAAGTTGTAAAATACTGAACTTCCCCTTCAATGCTAGGCTAAAGCTTTAATTTGGGAGATAAATTAGGCCTAAAGATTGTCTATCTTTATTATAATTTACAAAGGATGGTATATTGTTAGTTTTTTCCCTCCTGAAAACCGAGCCAAAAATCAAGGACTGAACCAAATAAAAATGTTTGTGAACCATTACACCCCTAATATTCACTGTGTCCAGCCCACTAACCAGCACCAAAAGACACGCAAAGGCCAATTGGATCTGCAGCATGATACAACGGCCCAAACACGTCTCTGTTACCACAAACCTGGAGGGGACGGAGTGTCAGGTACAATGATGTACAGTGCCTTCAGAAAGTATTCAGACCCCTTGACCTTTTCTACATTTTGTTATGTTACAGCCTTATTCTAAAATGGATTAAAAAATAAATAAATCCTCAACAATCTACACACAATACCCAATAATGACAAAGTGAAAACAGGTTTTTAGAATTTTTTGCACATTGATTAAAATATACCTTATTTACATAAGCATTCAGACCCTTTGCTATGAGACTCTAAATTGAGCTCAGGTGCATCCTGTTTACATTGATCATCCTTGAGATGTTTCTACAACTTGATTGGAGTCCACCTGTGGTAAATTCAATTGATTGGACATGATTTGGGAAGGCACACACCTGTCTATTTAAGATCCCACAGTTGACAGTACATGTCAGAGCAAAAACTAAGCCATGAGGTCGAAGGAATTGTCCGTAGAGCTCCGAGACAGGATTGTGTCGAGGCACAGATCTGGAAAGGGTACCAAAATATGTCTGCAGCATTGAAGGTCCCCAAGAACACAGTGGCCTCCATCATTCTTAAATGGAATTAGTTTGGAACCACCAAGACTCTTCCTAGAGCTGGCCGCCCGGCCAAACTGAGCAATCGGGGGAGAAGGGCCTTGATCAGGGAGGTGACCAAGAACCCGATAGTCACTCTGACAGAGCTCCAGAGTTTCCTCTGTGGAGATGGGAGAACCTTCCAAAAGGACAACCATCTCTGCAGCACTTCAACAATCAGGCCTTTATGGTAGAGTGGCCAGACGGACGCTGCTGTGGGGGATTATTTTCAGCAGCAAGGACTGGGAGACTAGTCGGGATCGAGGGAAAGATGAATGGAGCAAAGTACAGGAGTGGCTTCAGGACAAGTCAATGAATGTCCTTGAGTTTTCCAGCCAGAGCCCGGACATGAACCCGTTCGAACATCTCTGGAGAGACCTGAAAATAGCTGTGCAGCGACGCTCCCCATCCAACCTGACAGAGCTTGAGAGGATCTGCAGAGAAGAATGGGAGGAACTCCCCAAATACAGGTGTGCCAAGCTTGTAGCGTCATACCCAAGAAGACTCGAGGCCGTAATTGCTGCCAAAGGTGCTTCAACAAAGTACTGAGTAAAGGTCTGAATACTTATGTAAATATGATATTTCATTTTTTTTATTTGTAAGAAATTTGCAAATAATTCAAAAAACCTGTTTTTGCTTTGTTATTATGGGATATTGTGTGTAGATTGATGAAGAAAAAACCCAATTTAATCAATTTTAGAATAAGGCTGTAACGTAACAAAATGTTGAAAAAGTCAAGGGGTCTGAGTACTTTCCGAATGCACTGTATACACTTCATGACAGATGGGGGCCGCTGTGTTGAAGCCACCATGCCTCCATCTTGGCACTCCCCCACCACTGCGCCACTCCTGAGTGGCGCAGTGGTCTAAGGCACTGCATCGCAGTGCTAACTGTGCCACTAGAGATCCTGGTTCGAATCCAGGCTCTGTCGCAGCCGACCGCGACCGGGAGACTCATGGGCGGCGCACAATTGGCCCAGCGTCGTCCAGGGTAGGGGAGGGAATGGCCGGCAGGGATGTAGCTCAGTTGATAGAGCATGGCGTTTGCAACGCCAGGGTTGTGGGTTCGATTCCCATGGGGGGCCAGTATAAAAAATATATATATAATGTATTCACTAACTGTAAGTCGCTCTGGATAAGAGCGTCTGCTAAATGACTAAAATGTAAAATGTAAATGTATTGTAAAAATATATACAGTGGGGAGAACAAGTATTTGATACACTGCCGATTTTGCAGGTTTTCCTACTTACAAAGCATGTAGAGGTCTGTAATTTTTATCATAGGTACACTTCAACTGTGAGAGACGGAATCTAAAACAAAAATCCAGAAAATCACATTGTATGATTTTAAAGTAATTAATTAGCATTTTATTGCATGACATAAGTATTTGATCACCTACCAACCAGTAAGAATTCCGGCTCTCACTGACCTGTTAGTTTTTCTTTAAGAAGCCCTCCTGTTCTCCACTCATTACCTGTATTAACTGCACCTGTTTGAACTCGTTACCTGTATAAAAGACACCTGTCCACACACTCAATCAAACAGACTCCAACCTCTCCACAATGGCCAAGACCAGAGAGCTGTGTAAGGACATCAGGGATAAAGTGTAGACCTGCACAAGGCTGGGATGGGCTACAGGACAATAGGCAAGCAGCTTGGTGAGAAGGCAACAACTGTTGGCGCAATTATTAGAAAATGGAAGAAGTTCAAGATGACAATCAATCATCCTCGGTCTGGGGCTCCATTTAAGATCTCACCTTGTGGGGCATCAATGATCATGAGGAAGGTGAGGGATCAGCCCAGAACTACACGGCAGGACCTGGTCAATGACCTGAAGAGAGCTGGGACCACAGTCTCAAAGAAACACTAGTAACACACTAGTAACACACTACGCCGTCATGGATTAAATTCCTGCAGCGCACGCAAGGTCCCGCTGCTCAAGCCAGCGCATGTCCAGGCCCGTCTGAAGTTTGCCAATGACCATCTGGATGATCCAGAGGAGGAATGGGAGAAGGTCATGTGGTCTGATGAGACAAAAATATAGCTTTTTGGTCTAAACTCCACTCTCTGTGTTTGGAGGAAGAAGGATGAGTACAACCCCAAGAACACCATCCCAACCGTGAAGCATGGAGGTGGAAACATCATTCTTTGGGGATGTTTTTCTGCAAAGGGGACAGGACGACTGCACCGTATTGAGGGGAGGATGGATGGGGCCATGTATCGCGAGATCTTGGCCAACAACCTCCTTCCCTCAGTAAGAGCATTGAAGATGGGTCGTGGCTGGGTCTTCCAGCATGACAACGACCTGAAACACAGCCAGGGCAACTAAGGAGTGGCTACGTAAGAAGCATCTCAAGGTCCTGGAGTGGCCTAGCCAGTCTCCAGACCTGAACCCAATAGAAAATCTTTGGAGGGAGCTGAAAGTCCGTATTGCCCAGCGACAGCTCTGAAACCTGAAGGATCTGGAGAAGGTCTGTATGGAGGAGTGGGCCAAAATCCCTGCTGCAGTGTGTGCAAACCTGGTCAAGACCTACAGGAAACGTATGATCTCTGTAAGGTTTCTGTACCAAATATTAAGTTCTGCTTTTCTGATGTATCAAATACTTATGTCATGCAATAAAATGCAAATGAATGACTTAAAAATCATACAATGTGATCTTCTGGATTTTTGTTTTAGATTCCGTCTCTCACAGTTGAAGTGTACCTATGATAAAAATGACAGACCTCTACATGCTTTGTAAGTAGGAAAACCTGCGAAATCGGCAGTGTATCAAATACTTGTTCTCCCCACTGTATATTTTGGAAGCATTTATTAATCTCTACATTCATTTTCACCACATTTATTCTATTACAGACACCATATAAACACATTGAATAGCAGCTTCATACATGGATAAACAGATAGTCCCCCAAATAAATCTAAAATAAGTTTGTTCTGAAGTGTCTGTCCTATATCTGAGAGATATAAGAAAGATCAGGAAACTATTATTATTTTATTTATTTATTATTTAACTCCTTATTTTAGGCACTAAACTCTCATATATTCTTCCTTTCATTTTTTCAACTGGTACCCGGCTACCTTCACACTAGTCTGGTGAGGCTTGTGGACTTCCGTGTTCGTGAGAGACTCACCTTTCCATAGAGGGGTAATATTAGTGATGCAAAAAAACAGATATCTCTATCTTAAATGGACAAATTTGATTGGGATTTTGTATTATTATGCTAATTAGATGTCCACAGGGGCGCGGACATTGACTCCAGGGGTTTTTAAAGTATAATGTTTAGAGATTACTAATGTTACTGTCGCCACTACAACAAAACAATACTTAAATACATGTAATTTTATCCTTGAAACATTTAATTGAAATACTGTAGAATTCCATTCATTCTTATGGAGGACTGTTCCTACTGGGGAGTGCCAATATGGCCGACCGGTGGCTTCAAAGCCTCTCAATGGCCAATACATAGCATCAGCAATCCAGGGTTTATATACAGTGCCTTCAGAAAGTATTCATACCCCTTGACTTGTGTTACACATCTTGGTTGTGTTGCCATCTGGATTTGGGGATTTTCTCCCATTCTTCTTGCAGATTTTCTCAAGCTCTGTTAAGTTAGATGGGGAGTGGCGATGAACAGTACTTTTCAAGTCTTTTCAATGGGATTCAAGTCTGGGCTTTGGCTGGGCCACAAAATGACTTTCACGCTCTTGTTCTGAAGCCATTCCATCGTTGCTTTGGCTGTATGCTTGGGGTCATTGTCCTGTTGGAACGTAAATCTTTGGCCCAGTCTAAGGTCGTTTGCACTCTGAAGCAGGTTCTCATCAATGATTTGCCTGTATTTGGCTCCATTCATTGTTCCCTCTATCCCTACCAGTCTCCCAATCCATGCTGCTGAAAATCATCCCCATAGCATGATGCTGCCACAACGGTAGGGATGGTGTTAGACGACTGATGAGCTGTGCCTGGTTTTCTCCAGACATAGTGGTTTGCATTCAGGCCAAAGAGTTCAATTTTTGTCTCATCAGACCACAGAAGTCTTTAATGTGCCTTTTTGCCAACTCCAGGCGTGCTGTCATGTGTCTTTTTCTCAGGAGTGGCTTCCGTCTGGCCCCTCTCCCATAAAGCCCAGATTAGTGAAGTGCTGTAGAGACTGTTGTCCTTCTGGCAAGTTCTCCCATCTCAGCCAAGGAACTCTGTAGTTCTGTCAGAGTGGTCATTGAGTTCTTGGTTACCTCCCTGACCAAGGTCCTTCTTTCCCAGTTGCTCAGTTTGGTCAGACGGCCAGCTCTAGTCTGGGTACTTCCATATTTTGTAAATTTCCCAATGATGGAGACCACTGTGCTCTTGGAAACTTTCAACACTCTAGAAATTATTTTATACCCTTCTCCAGATATACTGTATGCCTTATCACAAATCTGGGAGATCTACGCACAGTTCCTAGGACTTCATGGTGTAATTTCTGCTCTGACATGCACTGTCAACTGTAGGACCTTACATAAACAGGTATATTCCAATCAAGTTGTAGTGACATCTCAAGGATGATCAAAGGAAATTGGATGCACCTGAGCTCAATTTAAATAAATATGCAAACATTTCTAAAAACGTTTTCATATGGGGTGTTGTATGTAGATGCGTGAGAGAGAAAATATATTTAATCAATTTTGAATTCAGGCTGTAACAACAAAATGTGGAATAAGTCAAGGGGTATGAATACTTTCTGAAGGCACTGTACATCATTGGTCAGGAGGGAGGACAGTCAGGGAGCATAGACAATTCCAAAGACGACAAATAAACTGAATTGCATTATATACTGAATTGCAGTAGGCTATACAGATTATAAAAAGTTGTTGTTGTTTTTGGTAACATCTTGTTTTTAATAAGATCTTTGGTAAGTAATTGTGTGCAAGAGCCATTTAGCAGACAGAATGAGGCTGAAATTATGCACTTACCTCTAAGTGCCCACACATTGATGGCGATGGGGCAGAAATCCGAAGCGAAGGGGTAGTTGTACAGATTGACCTCACAGCCCACCACAGTATTCATGATGATCATGTGCTCTATAGTCCCGTTGCTGTGCACCAGCAAATCCTTGTTGCTGTGCTTTATCGTTGTTTGCACTCTAGATATGAGGTTGAGGATAGACAACTGAGGATTGATCTACTGAAACTGTCACACCTAACCATTTAGCCACTCAAATTAATACTGTATCTCTAATTGATTTCTGTAGATCTGTCACTCACTATTTAGAAGATCATGTTATAAAAGGAATCAAGAATAAATTAAACATAGGTTATTGTATTCTGTTGTAAGTGGACTCACCCATTAGTCACATGGAGTTCAGGAGTCCAGATTTTGCTGACAGGCAGGACCACCATATCATGATGATAGACTGATGTGTCCCATGATAAGTCAGGGTCTTCCCAAGACTGTAGTTTAGAATCATAATCATGAGTAGTATTACAAAATGTCACATTTACTTGAATGTCTCATTCGATTTTTTATGTGTACGTACCAACATAACTTGCAGCTGACTCTCGAAGCGGAGGCCTTTTGTGTCCTATTAGGAAGATAATAAGTAAGGGATGAATGCCAACATTCTGTACATTACCTTGGAAAGAAACGGTGAATCATGTGTTGTTATATTGTTGTAAGTATGTTGAAGAGAGGGAAAGATGGAATTGTAGGGTCATTGAGGTTGTATGGGGTTGGGGGGGGGGGGGGGGGGGGGGGGGTGTCTATTAGAAGTTAGAAGGGCTCTTTTTTATTTTCTCAGAAGTACTGAGTTAGGTAGGATGATTTAGAAATGTTGTAAACCATGATTGACCACACACTCTAGCACCGTAGGTGGCGGCATTCACCTTTAACGTTGGTTTGCGGACCGCCATTATATCATAGAAGAAGAAGAAGTTTACCTTGGAATTAATTGACTACGCAGCGGGACGAGGTGGAGCCAAGTCCCTTTGCAGAGTTAATTTTTCTAAGGTAATAACTGTAATGTACAGAACTGAGGCGTTTATCCCGCTTATACCACAGTTGCCAAAGAAAACAATACTAAAGCACACATTTACAGGTAGAAATACTATTTTGTCATTTTTATTTTCATTTTTATAAGATAATTCATACTTTCTCATCTTTTAATTGCTAGAGACCCAGTCGTTCGTTCTATTTGTTGTGCTCGCTGGCAACCTTCTTGTCCCTTTCTTGCTAGTTAGCCAACTAGCTATGGCTAACACAGTCACGACCTCTGCTGCCAGAATAACAGCAAAGTAGATGCATTTGCATTTGTTAAAGCTTTTTTCTATTGGCATTAATTTGGATACATCCATAACAATGAGCTGATCAAGCCTGATTTTGCCTGGCATAGCTAGAAAAGTTTGCCTTTCCGTCAGGATGCTCGACACTGTTCATTACGAGGAGATCGCATTGCATATCAAAACACTAGGCTAGAAGCTAGCTAAATAGTTTGTTGCTAGCAAATCTGCCAATATGGGAACCTAATTCAAAAATACCAGTTGCTGAAAACAGCTGGTCAAATTTAAAACGTGGGATGATTTGACAGCATAGTGCTACCGTCATGACTGCAAAAATGCATGTTCATCACTCACCACATTAGGTCATCTGACGCTCACAAAAAAATAAGTATCTGAAAAACAAATCAGTGCTAGCTAGCTAAGTTTTTCCTTGTTGTACCTGCGTTTACAATGTATCCAATTTCGGTTTGTGTGGTTGTTGGTTTAGCTTTCTGTAACTTTGTAGCAAGTACGGTCTGCATGTGTAGGCACATAATGTGTCATAATCCAGATATCTTTTCCAACTGTCCCGATATATTTTTCAACTGTCCCGTTAGCTGGTTTTAATGTCCATTTTAGAATGCCATTTTAGCCAATTGTAAATGAGTACTCAACAATGCTGTGGTATAATTAATCATCACATAATGATACAACTGTCAATAGGTTATCTCTGAAACTCCTCACATTGTACAAAACTCAATTAAAAGGAACAGAAAGGGACTTACGACAGACAGAGTTTCATACACTATTGACGGCACACTGATATTTGAGATGCATGATGGAGACTGTGGCTGACTCAGAGCTTCTTTCGCAATCAGCATGCTGGCCAGACATCGACGTGTCGTACAGGATGGTGTGGTTGCACTGGATGAAGTGGCTGTGTTGGATGGTTGGTTAGCACTAGCTGTGTTGGATGGTTGGTTTGCACTGGCTGTGTTGAATGGTTGGTTTGCACTGGCTGTGTTGGATGGTTGGTTTGCACTGGCTGTGTTGGTTGTTTGGTCTGCATTGGTTGTAGTAGTGGATGCATTGGCTGGAGTCATTTCACTAGTTGAAATGGCTGCATTGGATAGAGGTTCTGCTGCAGATACTGTGGAACCAGAGACGGGTATTTAATTTCAGAATAATACATTGGATTTATATAGCGATTTTATAGGAACCAATTATGCCTTCCAATATTTCAACAACCACCGTACAATAAATAACAAACTGAATCTAAATGAAATGGGATAAGGTTGTTGCATGGCTTCATAGTAGCAGATAGGAATCTCATTGGTCACTGAATGGAGGAACGTATAATGCCCCGCCCATTAGACAATCGCATTCACATTGTCATGCTGTGTCACGCGGTTGCTAAGCTAATCGTCACGAAATCCCTTGCAGAAAGTCAAGTTATGAGTCTAGAAACTGCTTATTTTCTTTAAAAGTATGTAATGTCACGAATCAAAAACTAAAACAAGTTAAATATCTCAGATCCCTGGAAATATTTATAATTTTGTGCTTATTTTTCACATAATTCATGCTAATGTTGGGGTTTTGAGCTAGTGCCCAATTGACTCCCATTCACTCCTTGAAGGAGTCCACTCCTTGTCCCAGATGTACCCAGAATGCCCATTGACAACGCATGGGCAATGTACACAATGGCCGTTAATACGAATCAAATGGAGTTTCCCATCTCCCCATTTAGAGTATTTCTGAAGGCTTCATAGTAGTGACTCAATATCTGTGAAAAGTGATCTAAACATTTACATTTTACATTTTAGTCATTTAGCAGATGCTCTTATCCAGAGGGACTTACAGTTAGTGAATACATTTTTTTTTTTTATACTGGCCCCCTGTGGGAACCTGATACTCTATCACTAGTCTTTATCACTACTGATTTAAAGCACAAGTGGGCACTGGAAAACAACCTACTACGTGGCCAGCTTTTAGTGCAAAATGTTATACAGCTTCAATACACTTAAATGTATTTGAATGTTTTATTTCTAATTGTTTTCATGGTTTTCATGACTTTAATAAAATAGTCTGTTTGAAAGGCAATGGGCTGCATTTTTCACACGTAGCCCAAGCAGTGTGCCAAAATGGGACAAGGCAGTTTTTCAAAAAACATATTTTGAATATTGCAGCTTGTGATAACCGTGTGTAACGCTTGTTTCACAATGTTTACTTCATATCTGCTAATAGGAATGATAAAGATTTCTCTTTTTCTCTTTTAAGAAGAGTAAAATGGAGCACAAAATCTTACCTGTTAACAAGAGTAGGGAGAAGAGACAACATTTCAGCTTGCTGTGGTCCATGGGTCTCATCCCTGCACGTCCTCCTGTCCCAAAGCATATAGAGTCAGTTGGACATTGGTATACAGTCTTAGGAGAAATTAAGACGAGTTTCCTCTAATGAAACTGTTAGAAGAAGGACTGAAAACCTACCTTTAGCTGCTTAGTGATCACCACTTGCCTTCTCCTGTCCTGGAGCGGCAGGTAGCTTAGTGGGTAAGAGCGTTGTGCCAGTAACCGAAAGGTCGCTGGTTCTAATCCCAGAGCCGACTAGGTGAAAAATATGTCGATGTGCCCTTAAGCAAGGCACTTAACCCTAATTGCTCATGTAAGTCGCTCTGGATAAGAGCGTCTGCTAAATGACTAAAATGTAAATGTCCTCTCTAGCCAGTAACACACCTGGGATGACCCTTATAAAGGCTGCTCTGGAACATTTTGTCACAGCAGTTTTCCACGAGAACACACACACCCCTACAAACTGTCTACATGTGAATATGATCCTCGATATTATACAGGATGTGCTTGGCTATAATCCCAAAATAATGAGTTTTTAAATTAACCTTCCAGGATTCATTTCACCATCTTGTGTAAACAACCACAACAGACTGGTAATTACTACTTGTGACTGGTCAGAAGGGGATATACTGTACCTCCACCTGCCATTAAACCCTATAGTTGGCTATATGTTTCACTGGACCTCAATAGGACCGTAGGCTATTATCATATTGTTGAGCATACAGACTTCATACATACAATAATACAAAAGGGATTGAGTTGGTTTATTTGAAAAAAAGACAAAGCATTGTGGTTTCAGTGGTACTGCTTCCTCTCTGGGTAATGGAAAAAGGTTGCTATCTCCTCACTGGTGGTTCATAAAGCAGCTTGTTTTGACAGCTGGTTGTGGACTAATTGTCTGGACATCTGAACCTACCCACAGTTTAAATTAGAGAGTAACTCTGACTGATGTAATACTGTTTATGTATAGCATCAGAAGGGTTATTATGGTGGTCCTTCCTCTGATGAAAGCATCAGGAACAACTGAATAATTTACAGACTTTTCTGTTGAGAGTAACTGGATGTACTGGGGAGGTCCACATGTACACTGCACCTCTACCATGACAACAGTAGATGGGTCATGGCAAAAATGGTATGCTGACGTTTCAGCAGAAATGTTCCATTACTGTGTGTTTGATATCCAAAGAGATGCGTATATACCATGCCATTTCTAGTCTCTAAACATGGCAGAAAAACTCATGGGGGCAGTTCCCCAGACACACATTAAGGTTATTCCTGGACTAAAGCTTTTTCAATGGCGGTTCTCTGCTTAATTTGTGTCGGGGAAACCGGCCCATTATGTCTTTATCTCTTCACACCGCAGGAGGAATTTATAATAAGCATGATCCATAAAATACTATTTGTCGAGAAATACATACAGATATCTTACAAACGCTCCATGTAAGTTAAAACGTTAATGGGTGTAATCAAGCACACAGCCATGCAATGTCCATAGACAAACATTGGCAGTAGAACGGCCTTACTGAAGAGCTCAGTGACTTTTAACGTGGCACAGTCATAGGATGCCACCTTTCCAACAAGTCAGTTTGTCAAATTTCTGCCCTGCCAGAGCTGCCCCGGTCAACTGTAAGTGCTGTTATTGTGAAGTGGAAATGTCTAGGAGCAACAACGGCTCAGCCGTGAAGTGGTAGGCCACACAAGCTCACAGAACGGGACCGCTGAAGCGCGCAGCGCGTAAAAATCGTCTGTCCTCGGTTGCAACACTGAGTTCCAAACTGCCTCTGGAAGCAACGTCAGCACTGTTCATCGGGAGCTTCATGAAATGGGATTCCATGGTCGAGCAGCCGCACACAAGCCTAAGATCACCATGCTCAATGCCAAGCGTTGGCTGGAGTGGTGTAAAGCTCGCCGCCATTGGACTCAAAAGTAGTGGAAACGCGTTCTCTGGCGTGATGAATCACGCTTCACCATCTGGCAGTCCAATGAAAGATCTGGGCTTGGCAGATGCCAGGAGAATGCTACCTGCCCGAATGCATAGTGCCAACTGTAAAGTTTGGTGGAGGGAGAATAATGGTCTGGGGCTGTTTTTCATGGTTCGGGCTAGGCCCCTTAGTTCCAGTGAAGGGAAATCTTATTGCTACAGCATACAACAGGGGTGTCAAAGTCAAATGGACGGAGGGCCAAATAAAAAATTTAGCTACAAGCCGAGGGCCGGACTGTTCGAATGTTCATTGAAAAATTTTTAAATGACGCATATAGTCTAGTGAACCTAATTGAACCTACTGAAAACCTAACAAATATATTCCAATATGATCAGATAAATAAAGCAATATTTTCTTATGGCTCTGTCAGTAATCTTTAATTTTCAACAGACACAAAAGACAAATTTCCTTTATATAAAAATCCCCATAACATGAACATTAAATGAAAGAAACCGGTATTCAAGGCACCATCAGTAGCCTATATTTTCTATTTTAGCAAAAGTGGGCTAAATTTACTTCAAAGAAAAAAACAATAATAGCAATTTTCTATCATCCACTCAACTGAAATATTTTTAAAATATAATTGGATTGAAATACAATAAAATAAAGTGCAAAAATCTATTAATCAAAAACAACACTTTGTTTAAGGAGAAGTAACATGCAGTGAAAACAAATATTAAACTTTAACTTTTAAACTTGAACTGAGTAAAAACTCTAAATATGTGATTGCACAGTAATGTTCACTTGTTTGAGGTTGAGGGTGATACTTGGTGGTGTCCCATCTTTTCCACAAGTTCATCAATGTTCGGGGTAAGGCTCTGAGCTGAGGAAATCCTCAGAATTGAGTGGAGGTGTTCAGCAGTAAGTCGACTTCTGTGTGATGTTTTGTTCAGGTTCATCAAAGAAAACAGTTGTTCACACAGGTATGTGCTGCCAAACATAGACAACGTTTGAGCAGCCTGGATGCGCAGCTGGGGCATTGTGTCGGGGAGGAAACGGGCGAACTCCGCAGCACCCACTGCCGCATATTTTGCCCTCAGTGCATCATTGCATTGGAGGTCAATCAACTCCATTTGGAGGTTTGGTGGTGAGCTTTCCACGTCAACAGCAAATGGGTTACCGAGCAGTTCCAACCTGCTTTTTTGTGCTTCAAAGTCAGCAAATCGGCGTCGAAAGTCAGCGGCAAGCATACCTATTTTATCAGCCAACTGTGCGCTCGGGAACGCACTGGTAGAGAGCTTCTCTTTCATGGTCTGGCAGCTGGGAAAGTGGCTCAAATTTTCTTTCCGCATCTGCGTCTCCCACAGAGTCAGTTTGGTTTTAAATGCCTTCACTGTACTGTACATATCAGAGATGACATGATCCCGACCCTGCAGCTGCAAGTTCATTGCATTCAGATGACTCGTAATGTCACACAGAAAAGCCATTTCACACAGAAACATTTCGTCTCGGAGTTGTGTTGTGTCTTTCCCTTTGCTGTCCAAGAACAGACAAATCTCCTCACGAAGCTCGAAACATCTTTGAAGCACCTTTCCCTGGCTTAGCCATCGCACCTCTGTGTGATAAGGCAAATCACCATGCTCCGTTTCTAACTCCGTCAGAAATGCCTTGAACTGGCGGTGATTCAAACCTTTGGCTCTGAT